GCAGCGCGGGCTCCGGGCAGGGCGCCGAGCGCGGAGCCGAGCCGCGGCGAACGGGAGCGTTAGGTGGACGTGGGGAATAGTAACGGTAACGGAGCGGCGCATCCACGTGCTGCAGCGGAGAGGGGCAGCCCGCGGCCGGGGAAGCCCAAAGCGGTGTCAACGCGCGCAGTGTTCGCCGGCTGCTGTGGCTGCGGGGAGCAGGCGGTGCCCCGGGGTGCCTCGTCAGGCAGCGCCTGGGCGGGCTGCATTCCCGGCTCCTGCGGGCTTCCCTTCCCCGGGATCGCTTGGGAAAGTCGGAACATCTCATAGACKTCCTCTTCCCACTGTGTCATTTATCTTCTACTGTTGTGATCAGCAGAGTTTCTTACCGGGTCTCTTCAGGTTTCTTCCATTTTTTTGAGGTCTCATTTTGGACTTGCCCAAATGCACAGGAATTCTGTGTTTGAGCTTTCAGTTTCTTAAGTAGTTCCTGATCACTTTATTTTAAAGTAGGTAACTGAAAAAAAAAAGAGGTAAATTACAGAAAAAAAATAGTTGGTGAGTGTGCACATAATTCTGTTTTAATAAAATGTGTAGACAAAATGKCTATTTTAATGGAATAATAAAGAGAAATTCGTGTGGTCTCTAGTGGTGTTACTGGCTCCGGACACACCGTAACTGTCTAATCTTTGGGCAGGGAACACCTCTTTTTTTGTGCTCCATTTGTGAAGTGCTCCATGACAGGTGCTTGCCTGTGCTTCAGTACTACAAATAATGAATACAAATATTTTCCCATTAAGCAGTACTAAATAGCAGCTGCTTAGGCCACTTATGCTTGCAAGAAGAAAAGCACTTGTTAGTTCATCTGCTCTGGTCTCTTTCTGTTTAAATAAAACAGGTTTTCAGTGATGGGTTCGCCAGAAAGGAGGCAGTACTTTCTGGTGAACACAGTAAATTTCCTGGAAGTGTTAGTAATCTGTACTTGGAAAAAGAAGTAAGTCTGGTTTTGGTTATTATAATTGTTTAGTTTGTGAATTTGCATTGCAGGCTCTCTAAAATCTCATCTCAGTTTTTGCATCAGCCCAAAACTTTTGAATGGGTTAAAATATTTAGACAGACATGATCTTGGCTGGAGGCTTCTAAGTGGAGAAAAAAGTACCTTGAAGACATTGTTCCAGTGGTTGATACTCTTACATTTTGACTCCACGTGATAGCTAAAGCAATCCTTGGCTTGTTTTTTTTTAACTTCAGGAAAAGTTGTTTTTTCTCTGAAGTGTTTCAAAGTTGTCTCAATAGTGCCTGATGGTACTCAGCGCTTCCTTGGAAGTGTCCTCCTCCTTGGAAAGGTATTTATGATGTGCTGAAGCATATAYGCCAAGTGAGCAGTATCACAGAGACCGTAATTCTCCTCCTTTACCCAAAATATATTCCCACAAAAATGGGAGTACAAGCTGCAGATTCCATCTGCTGCCTTGCGTGGAGTGATCCTGGGGGCCTGCACGGCGGCGCCTTCTGTTGCAGCCAGAACTTGGCTCCATTTGGAGAAACATCATCAGCATTCAGAGCGCCCCGCAAGAAAGGGCATAAGCAACCAACTGCTACCCTGAGCTATGACGTGAATATCCCATTCAGTATTCACATGCTCACACACATAAACATTTATGTTTCTTTATTCTTTTTGAGTGTGCTTAAGTTTTTAGCTGGGTATTGATTTTTTAATGATTTTTTTTTTTTTTTAAATTTGCAGCACTTCATTCCAGACGTAACAACAGCCTGCCCAGATGATCTGCTGACCTGTTCCGGMTTTCATTGTCTATATGATAAATGCAGGGTAAGTCCTGTGATTGATCTAGGCACCCATGTGGAAATCATTCAGCCATTAATCACTATGCGGGATAACACCGTGTTTGCATTTTATGATATGCTTTCCATTTTTATGCTGAAATACCAAAAATCCATCTAATCCAAAGAATGCCAAATTTAATACACTYTCAATGTAGATTAAACTTTCCTCACACTAACAAATCTTAGCTGAAATCAATTCATTCTCTCTTCGGAACAACTTACTTACTGTAATAATGTGTTAATATGAATTCTGGGGACTCCTGTATGTCTTTAGCTGGAGATGGAAGGGATGGAGGCAACATCTCCCCGCAGGAAGCAACATGGGTAAATTAGTAAAACTATAAAGATAGGTTCTTTACCTGTTTACCTTCCCTGTTTATCTAAACAGTCCATTTGTTAGGAGCTTGCTATTAAAATCTGTTACACAAATTAGGAGAAAATTATGATGATCTCCAGTCAGTGAGGCTGACTGGTTAAGGCTGGAGGAGCCGGAGCAAAGTGTATTCTAGGAAAAAGACTTGGTAAACCGAAGACTCACTGCATGTATTCCAGATGCTGCCAAGGCTTGTGCATTCAGTTATGGAGTGTAATCTGGCTTTACATGCTCTGACAAGCAGAGGATCCACAACAGAAGCCAGATTGAATAACCACTTACAAGTTCAGCAGAATGTAACTGAGATTTTAACATGCTTAAACAGATCAGGCTAAATTTCAACCCTGTTTTATCCTTCCTCAGAGTACTTTGTATGTCTTTTACCTTTCAAGTTTTATAGATARCTGCATGGATGTAAAWTTTTTTTTCATTATTTTATCATTAACAATTTAAGATTTCCATGACCTAGACTAAGTTCCATATAAATTCTGCTTAGATAAGAGTAAATTATTACAGCCAGTAAAATTCTTCCTTGTGGAAAATGAGCTTTGTGAGTTTAGTGCTTTTCACTGTCATCTTAATCTTTTCATTTTTTTTTCCTTTTTTTTTTCCTCTTTTTTTTTCCCTCCCTTCTAGCTGCAGGGCTGTTTTTGCAAGCAGGCTTCAGCTGACAAGTTTGTATATTCGTGTCTGGTTGGGATATCCTTTCAAGGAGCAGCGAGCTGGAAGTCTTTATTGTAACGCTGGGGAAGTCAGCAGACCAGATTGTCTGTTGGATTAGTGCTCCTCTGTGCCATAATGATCTGCCTTGCTGTATACAGTCACTCTCAGTGGACGGTGATCTCAAAATCCTATTTCTTGGGCCAGCTTGGAATTTTATCTTGGTATATGAAGAAGGCACGTGGTTGGATTGAAGTGCCATGATCCAGCTCATATCAACTAATGATTTCTTGGGGACTTTCAGAAAATAGCAGAGGTTAAGGCAGTCACCTCGCTGCAGTGTGGGGGTTGACAGGGGAAGCCAGACCAGGCTCTCCTCCTAGCTCCGAGAAACAGAAACACAGATCTCCAAAGAATCTGGGCCAATGTGTTCCTCACACAGTCCCACTCGCTCAGCACTGMCCCGGCTCTGCTGCTCCGAGGTTCACAGCCTCTCCGCAGGCCAGGGGGGTTCCCCAGTTGGCCCTGCTTCCCCATCACGGGAAAATCATTGGCTTCAGGACAAGTGTTCCGGATCTAAAGACACAGAGGACTAGAAGTTTTTTTTTCCCTTCCCCCCCCATCATAAAAACATGTTCGTTTGTTGAAAATATGTTGAAAATAAACTTTTGTAGGGAAGAGCTGATTTGGGTGATTTCTCCATTTTAAAACGTGGCATACAAAAGACTCAGCAGATTTGAGAACATATGGAGTTTGATTTTCTGCTGTCTTAAACACTGTGTAATTGTTTACATTCTGGCAAAGCAGATGTAAAAGACAACCTCTGCCTTGTTAGGATTYACTTCCACTTAGTTACAGGTATGATTGCATGCACAAGATTAAAAAAGTAGCCTGGTTCTCTACTCCTTTCCCTATATGATCATTGATTGATTGTTATCTACTTGCAGCCACAGTGCTACATGCAGTTTTAGACGCTCTTCATCTACCGAACTCTTCCTTCTTTGCTTYGCCTTCCCAACCCTCTTCTGTTTTCTCACAAGTCTTTGCATCTTTCTGGGTTACTACATCCCCTGTGTTTTGGAAGGAATGTATATTTAGAAACTGGAAGGGSACAGGAGGAACAAGGAAGGCAGAGTGATTTTGTTTGCTGTTTTTGTGGGGGCAGGACACTAATGGCAAAGCAAGGATGATCCCTTCAGTTTAGTGGCAGCACCTGAAATACTGCATTCCATTCTGGCATCCTATAACGAGAAATAAAACGATAAAGAAAGAAGAAAGAAAGAGAAGAGCAGTAAA